TTACTGGAGATGCGAAGTGGATACTATACAATAATGTTGCAAGAAAAAGAATATGGGGTAGTCAAGCCCAAAGAACCTCCTTTAGTTGTATCGAGAGGGGGCTGCGTACCAAAAAGTAATGTTCTGTGTATAGGTACTATGAGTTTTTGCCATCAAATGAGAGTTTCCAAATGGCACTTTCAAAACCAGAAATCGAAGCACTGTCCAGTCATTGAAATGACATCATCAGGACAATTCTCACATTTTGATGAATGTCAGACAAAGGCTTTTTGAGTATGGCTGAAATGTTTTGTCATCTTTCATATTTACTAGTACTTTTTTTTTTATTGAAAATTTTAAATCCTTGTGCACCACATAGTATTACACAAGGCTTAGTTTAAAAAAAAAAAAACCTGCAAAATAAAATAAACTTACAAATTCACAAATGATATGTAAGAGATAAATTTACAGAAGAAAGAGAAAGCCATTTTATGTTGGACAAATACATGAAGAGGGGGAGGAAATGTGATATTAACAGAGTTTAACCTAGAAATGAGTTCCTTTCGTCCTTCCTTGAGCTTTGAACAATAGAACGACAAACGTTCGACATTTTGTACTAACACGAAACTGCATGAACACAAGTCTGTACTAGATAATCTAAATCTCTTCAGATATGAATTGAATTTACCATGTCCAGTTAGAAATTGAGTAACTTCAAAATTGCAGAAAATTGTTTATTATTCAGTCTGTGAGGAAATGGAAGGAAAATATAGTTTAGTCAAAGAGGCAGTAGTAGAATTCCTGTTTAGTTCATTCAACTTGAGTATTGTTTTCATCCCTATTTTTGTTCTTGTAAAATGACTTTAGGAAGTATCATTGGAGTAATTACTTGAAGATGTGTAGCTTCTTTTGCCAACCAATCAGCCCTTTCATTTCCTAAATTGCCAGTGTGGCCACGTACTTGAGAAAAGATAAGCATCAACACCTTTATTATTAAGGTCTTTAAGAAGGAGCATAGGAAGTGACAATTAATTTATTATATGAGAAGATATTCCTAAGAATATAAAGATAAAAGAGAATCAATGTAAATAAGAAATTTAGCACTTAGCGAACAGTTGTTAGGATGTCCACTTAATTGACTCACTAATGCACAGTAATTCGGCTTGCAAAATACTGCAGTCATTGGGAATTCTAAAGAGTTTGTATTCCAGTTCAGAACCATGCTGGAAAACGACATAAGCTAATCCAACTCGATTATTAATTTTTACTGCCATCTGTATAACACACAACAGGGAAATTATCATCAACAGAATTGTCATAAATGATAGTTTGAATTGGCAAACGATTGGCAGGATGAAGAAGATCTTCAAACAACACCTTGGCATCGAACATAATTTGCTGATGGTATCTTTAAAGTTTTTGTCATTCAAAACATGAAGGTCAATCAGAGGAAATCCTGAAATTGCGAAACAGGCTTCATAGCTAATTGTTCTGTAGCCACGCACAACTCTTAGTAAATTCTTCTTTGAATTCTGCGAAGTATACGGGAATTAATCTTCTTTTCTAAAGCTGTTCCCCACATCTAGAAGCCATAGCAAATAAAGGGTAACAATACCCTGCTTATAAATCATATCAATAACATTAGATTTTAAACTAAAGTATTGCAAGAAACGATTAAGTCCTCTAAGTATATTTCGCACTTATTGGATAAATACTAATATGATTTTCCAACAAAACTTATGATCGAGAATAACACTAATATTTAATTTCATTCATCATTTCAAATAAGGTATTATCCAAGTACAGTTGTTGGTTTGTATAGCTGAAATGCTTTCTTTTAATTATCATAATTTTAGATTTATTAGGATTGAATTCCAATTTCTGTTCTCTGGACCAATTGGAAATAATATTAAGGGTGTTTTCAGCCGTATTAAAGAGAGTAATGGGACACTTCTCTTGAAAGCAAATTAGTAGATCATCAGCAAAAGAAATTGTTTTACAACTCGGACAATGTGAGAGTCTATTGAGTAGATCATTCATTAAATTCCACAATAAAGTTCCGGAAACCAAGCCTTGAGGGCAATCTCTTTCCAAAATGTGGGAGGAAAAAACGTGGCCAAGGGAGAGCAATGCAGATCTGTCATGCAGAAAATCTTTAATAAGGTGGTAAATATTACACGGAATACCGGCTTTTTACCGGCTTGCCTTAAAAAAAAAAAAAAAAAAAAAAAAAAAACAAGTATCCCAGTCTACCAGGCGTGGTCGAAAGCACCTTTGATATCAAGAAACACTAAAACTGTGTGTAAATTTCTCTTCTTACCTTCGTCCACTATGTCTTTTAAGTACAAAAGAGCATCTTCACAACTCTTATGATATAAAACCAAACTGTGCTTTATTTAGCAGTTTTTTACTATGCAAGAACCAGGTAATTCTATTAACAAACAGCTTTTCTAGGCATTTTCCTAAACTGGGAAGAAGATTAATGCATCTCAAGTTATCTAAATGTGGGATACAAGGACCACTATTCCTAGGTATTAAAACGACATTCGCTGTTTTCCAGCAATGAGGAAATGAACCAAGCCTCAGACAGTATTGAAGATTTTGGAGAATAAATTTGGAAACATTCTATGAACTTGCTTCAAAATTTGTTTGAAATAGAATCAAGACCAAGAGCTTATGCATTTAAGTTTTCTATATTAATTTTCTGACATAGTAATGGAGGATCTGGATTAGCAACATATTTAACGAAGCTTCAGTCCTAATCATTCTATGAAACGAATTATCCGTGCTAAAATGGTCCGTGGAAAGCTTCTGTTAAGAACCTCATTAGTAGTTTCTTCTAGCGACTTTGTACAATTACCAGACGGGAGATAAATTCCTCTGACTTCCATTCCTTTCATAAAATTTTTTTTTTATACCATTCGCATATATTTTTTTCCAAACATTCCTTTCATTTATACTCATGAGGATTTCTCTTCAAGAATTAAGCTTTGCATCCTAGAGCTTTAAGCTGTAATTATGTCTTAAGTGAAGATATTTTTGTTTATATAACTTTCTAAGAGTAGGGTTACAATTTTGTTGAAACCTACGTCTAGCAGCGTTAACTTCCTTTCTCATACATTCGATTTGAGTAGCCCACCAAGGTACCTTATGAACTCTTGGTTTTTTTAGAGGCATAGAAGCCTTGGATGCGTTATAGAGAATCAGGCCAAAATTTTCTAGTTGAGAGTTTAATACATGCTTATCCGTACAGCACTCAATAGACTGCAACAACTCATCAATCGACTGCTTACAAGTATTGTAAAAAATATTCTAGTTAGCTTTCTTTACACTGAAGACAATCTTGCTGGTTTTTTCTGTCATAGAGAGTGTTATTAGAAGCTACAGATAGTTCAAACTCAATTGTACAATGATCAGAAAGGAGATTCATAATCTGGTTGACACCAACACAAAATATCTGCAAGATTAGATTCCACAACCATAATGTCAATATAGCTTGAAACCTTGAGTATTACAGAAAGTAGGGACCACAGTCCTTCGTTTAGAACGACAAATTATTCATACTTAAAAATTCCACAAGTTTAACCCCTCGAGAATCTGAAATTGGACTATGCCAAATTTCAGATTTGCTGTTGGCATCCATAGCCCTAGATCAATCTATTACAATTTTTTGAAGCTAAGTGCTACATTAATTTTATCCAAATCCAAGTCGATATTTCTATTGGGTTCAAAATAATAGGGAAAAAAGATAAAATCATTGAGTATTGAGAGTAACATGAATAAACACATCATATTATAATCAAGATTATTAATATCAAGCAGAGTAGATAGCATTTGATTTCGTACAATAATAGCAGCTTTAATGGTTCATCTCTTCAAGTCACTTCAAAATTATCTCAACGGCCTGAAGTTCACTTTTGAGACTGTCAAAAGAGCCTCGATAACTTCTTTACAAATAATTTAATTACTTTTATAAAAAGGAATTTTCCAGTTACCAGAAAGATGGAAGGTGCTTATGTGATTCAATAAATTTTCATGTTTTTGTACTGCTTCATTTGTACCTAACATCAAAAGTTATTAAAAAATTCAATGACTTTTTACAGAATAGTAATATTTTTAATGGTGGATGCAGCAAATGTCAGTATTGTCCTGAACCTTTGACATTGTGTGGTATTGGTCTGGAATAAATTTTACATTTTTTGTTCAGTTATTGAAATTTACTTTTTCTCATGCGGATTGATGTTGGATATAGTGAATTTAGACAGTTTGTATCGTGTAATTCAAAATATAAATAATAGTGACAGCCAAATAAAATTTTATTTGTCAAGGTGGAAAAAAAGTTATAAATAAGACAAACAAAAAATTAATTTTTTATGTTTTATGATTTGAAAGTTTTTTTTTAATGCGTGTTTAAATAATCTCAAAACAAATCTTATGTGATGCATCTGCTGTACTAAGAAAAGACAAGGCATCCTATTTCCTTTGTAGTGTAGCTATTCATTTGAGATTTTTAATGCTGAACTGAGAACAATGAATACTCAGCTGAGCAGTTTGTGATCAGTAATGTAAAATATATGTGAAAGCAAATGTTTGAGTTTTGAAAGACATTTTTCCATAATTATCTTATAAAATTTTCTGTGAGTTTTTTTTACAGATTTTTAACAAATTCATTCATATCATCTTTGTACAATAATCAAACAAAATCAGACCAGAGTAATGCATATTAAATGTATAAAGTATAGTAATATATTTTTCAATCTCAGTTAAAAAAAGTATTAATGTAATCTGTTCTTTTATATTTTCTAAAAATAGAATGGTTGATTACTGGAAACTTTGGATGCACTGGGATAAAAAAGCTTAAATTAATTTGTTTTGAAAGAAACCAAAGAAAAAAAAAAAAAAGTCTGGTTGACTCCTCTTATAAAATATCATTAGGCAAAGCATTGTAGGAATTAATATTTTACTAACTAGATATATTGTTTTTGAAATTGTGCATTCTAATAGGTTTGTTTTTCTTCTAGGAACATCATTTACAAAGAGCGATTTCTGCCCAACAGGCATACGGCCATACTGGTGAACTTGTTATACCTACTCCCGAAGTTTATAATGTTCCAAAACATATTAAAGATGAATTATATCCAGCAACCTATAAAAGTTCACGACATCTTATTCATGTGCAGCGTAAGTTATATATTCTACTACTTTCTGTTATTAATTCTAGAAATATCTTTCAGTGAATCACTGTTACCTGATAAGTTTAGAGAAGCCTGAAAATTCTTGAATAACTTGTCAAACTATACTCTTACTCTTCCTCCCCCCCCCACACACACTACAGTAGGATTGCTTAATGTAATTGCAGGTCTCCGCCCATTTGTATACATGGAAAGTACATTTCCTATAGTGTTCAATAAGTTAATGTTATAAAAGTATTATAGAATGAATTTTTAAAGTGAAGTAATATCACCAAATAAAAGATAAAAATTGCCAGATGATAAAACTATGTTGTCAAACATCTTGATTTAAGGTAACCTTGGCTTCAAGCAGCATCTCGAAAAAACGGTACGAAATTTGTTTTAAACATACCAACCTTTTAATAAGTGATAAAATAAAAGGTGAAGAATTAAAAACTTCTCCAACTAACATGAATTGTAAGGAGTTTAATCCTTGGATGGATATTGCTGAAAAATCTTATATTGCAGATTCACTGACAAAAGAAAGTATCTGCTTGTTGCTTTCTAAAATAAATCCAAGCACACTTGTAATAACTTTCTGAAGATGATGAAACTGATGAATTTCCTAGAAATGCTGAGTTAAGTGCCCATCAGCAGCCGACCAATAAAGCTGCTGAATGCTTCAGTCTGAGATTTGTAGCACGGTGAATGGGCTGACTGTATTAGTGTTATCATTGTTTTTTCCATGTGTAACATATGATACAAGCCTTTTTTTTTTTCCACCAAAAGTCCTCCATGTGCAACTATCTCTCTTACTGAATATCATTGTGTGCTTTGCCATAATTAAAAAAAAAAAAAGTGTTAAGAGACCTCTATGAGTATTAAGGGTACAGCATCAAGAAAGTACTTTAAAAAAATTATGAACCATTCAAAAGAGATACTGTGAAAGCATTATTTATAATTTTCTAGTTAGTTTTATTAAATTAGTTAAATTCCATTGATTTTTTGAAGGATATTTTTCTGTTCACTTGATGTTATCAAGAAAGTCATGGACAAAAGTGATTGTGATTAAGTGCTTTATGAAAGTAAAGATCCTACAAAAAAAATTACAAGTCATTTGCATTAATTGAAATAGTAGTTCACCAAATTTGCTGGCAGCATATCCTGGGCAATGAAATGTTCTTTGCTGATTTTTTTAAAACTAGTTCGAGATGTTAGAAGCTTTGTTTACCTGCGTATTACAATTCTCAATGAAGAAATATACACAGAAGAAGGGTTCATAAATCTGGAAGTGTGCTTGAGCTATTTTTTATTCTTATAGAAATATTTTGTCATTTTGAAATGTCATGATTTTCTGCTATGTAATGTATCAGTTCTTCGATAAGACATGCCACAAGGTTGAAACTGTAACTACATATAATGTAAACACAAGGTTGTTTATGTAATATATAGTAAGTTGCACTAATCATTTTAGCAGGTAGTTTTTCTGGAAAGGTATCGTGAAATAATTAATATGTACATATAGATTTTTTTTTGTTTGTTTTGTTTTTATGTACATGAGAAAGAAATTTGTATCAAGTTCTATATCAGATTAAAATATTTTGAATAGAAAACTTAAGTGTATAAATGAGTAGAAAACTTTAGTATGTAAATAGTACAGGTGGGCTCAATTTTACGAAGTTGTACTTTGTCCAAACGCAACTTTTAAAAAATATTTCATTGCGTAAATTTGATAACCAGTATGTGATTGCAAGATAAAAAGTACCTACTATCGAAAGAGAATTTTTAACCAATCAAAGAGTGATAAGTTTTTTATCTGGAGCAGTTGGCTGAACAGCTACAAAACTTGTTTAGAAAAATTTTCAGAGTATATGGCCAAGAAAGATTTTAAACAGTTCAATTAAAGAAAGTAGGACTAGTACAAATGCGTTCTCATCTTTTTTCACCTCTACTTTTTCCGAGCGAACCAGCCATTCTTCTCCAAGTATTTCAAATAAGATGAAGCTTAATGAAGATGACAAAATAAAATATCCAGCTTCTCTCCTGTGAATGAAAAAGAAAAAGTAAGCTAGCAACAAAACTAGACTTTCTGGTAATGGCAGTTCTTGTCAGTGCTGCTTTAAAGGATACTTAGATTTTGATGTAAGAGATACCTCATATTTATTGATCACAATAAGATATAGAGGAAAAGGCAAAATCTCAAAGTTCTCTTGTGAAAAAAATTAAAAGAGCAACCCTTGTTACCAGTGTTTAGTGTTAATTTTGATGGCTGAAGAGATTAGACAGGGAACACAAATGTGCAACCACCTTTCTCATGCTAAGTTTTAACACTAGAGTGCTGTCAGTCTCGAAACTGATTTTTTGTCCATATCGCTTGTGCTTAAATCAATTTTCAAATTGTTGTCACTAAATGTTATTGCAATATATTATTTTTTTGAAAGATTAAATAATGAACCTGTATGTATGTTCCTAGCATTGTGGGAAAATACTAGCACTAGAGTCACTGTAATCTTAATACGCGTAGTCTTTCATGCAAACATGGCCATCTCGAAGCCCAAATTTTGTTTTTGACTTATTTCATATTTTATACAAATTTAATAAAATCAGGGATTTGAAAGCAAGAAGTGGCAACATGGTTTGAAATAAAACACTTTTCTCTTCAGTGAAGACTTGGCAAAATGTAAGATAATTTTTCAGTTTTAATAAACAAACTTTGCTGTATGAGAGCAGTATGTTGTTGCACTGTGGGAAACATTTTTATTTTCCACGTACCAGCATGTTACCAATCAGTAAAGCCTTTCAGATTTAATCTAGAAGATTATTAAGTAATCACTGATTTAAATTAAACTGTATTAAATCACGAGATCATTGAATCATGAATTTTTAGTTCCACTTTTTAATGTGCTACTTTCTAATGAACTTACATTATAGACAGAACTTGTATGGTTAATTTAACAGAATTTTAAATTAGCTTTTTCATCTAGATTTTGCATCTTAAAGGGGAAAAAAAGCAGCAATTAGCCTATTGTAAATTATTTATCCACATTAGTATTTGATATTTCAAAACTTTTAACTTTTTTGGTGTGTATTTTATCAGACTTTGATCTTAATGTGCTTGCCTCATTTTGGTTTGATGATTAGAAGCTGGTTATATGTAAATTTCCCAAATAAGGCATGGATATGTGTGATTTTGATTTCTTTGTGAAATATAACTTGCCAATTTAAATATCATCTTTGGTGGCAAGGGGCAGCTATGTAAGACTCTTGGATTCATTATCTAGGGTGCTTTCTATCTAAACTGAAATGGAGCTTGGCGTATAGTCCATCTGGGCCTTCTCTTAAACAAAAGTCATGTGCAGTTAATAATGAAAGTCATTATATTTGTTGCTACCTACACTCACTATAGAAGTCAGCCATAAGAGCCACCTTAAACTGATATAGCTAATCAGGGTAACATAAAGAAAGCATTTTAACATTCCAAACACATTCTCAGTTACGAGTGAAATAATTATTTACTAATAGCTCCAGTATAAAGGTCAATGCAAAAGTACTCATCTGATAAGACTATATTAAATTCTTTCTCTTTATAGTGATCACATCGGGATTGTTGTAGAGCAGTTTAGCTGTTGATAAATAATCGCTAATAACTGAGAATGTATTTATGTAATCAGGATGTACGGTTATGGTTAGAATTAAATCAATGGAACACAGTTTTACTAATTCTGTTTTTTTTTTCCCTCTGAAACCCAGAAAAGTGCTGAATTTACTATACTTTGTGAAAATAATATTATTAAGACCTAAAAAACCTCTAAAATTATGTTAATCTGTAACTTCTTGGCACTATCAAGTGATATTGGCTGTTAGTAAATAGCAAAATGGCGCATAAAATATTATTAAAATAGATTATTCTGTAAAAACACCCTCTCTTTTTTTTAATATAGGAATGTAATCTGCTACTCTATATATAGTATTTTAATAATAAACTTTGTTTATTTCATAAATTTTGAAGTTTAAAATACAGTGGAGTGATTATTAATGCTCATTGTAGCCTTCTCTATGGACCAAGATATACCGGATTATGATATTGACTCGGAAGATGAAATATGGTTATCAGAGCAAGCAGGCAGGCTAGACATCAGGCCTTTACAATTTGAAGAGATGATGGACAGGTTAGAAAAAAGTAGTGGCCAACAGGTAATTAATGTTTTCTTAAAATAATATGTGCATGTATGCCAGTGTCTTTTGGCTAAAATGTGTTTGCCACTAAACCATGCATTTACCCCCCCCCCAGTGCAAATTAGCTGAACTTTTTGTTCAGCATTATTAAAAAATTTTACTGAATTTTAATCAAGTATATGAATATTAAAGGTGAGACAAATCTTAAGTTTTCATGAATCTTTCATCTAACAATAAGAAGTAAAAGAAAGAAAACAGAAAATGTTTAACTAAAAATTTTAATTTGAACAAAATTTCAAGTTTGTTTTTAATTAAAAGCACTTCAAAATGCAGTTTAAAAATATGTCTGCATTTAATAAGAAAAGAATGAATTTTAATAAGTAAATTTCATAGTTTTTGTATCATAAAGTTCATTCTTCAGTGCAACTTGATCATATATATATTAAGAACAGCTGATATTTTTCTTTTCCACATTTCAGAATCATTATTAAATTTTGAAAAGGTTCTAAAGCAAAATAGAGTGTGGAAGATTATTCCAAGAGTTAACATAGAAAACACTTAACATGACATGCTAATTTTTCTCCATGAAAATAAAGGTTTAGCAGAGATATCACATGTGATGTTATTGATCCGTTCGTGTATATATAGATGTTATTAACTTTCGCTAAAATGAATCTTTTGGGTTAAAACATTTAACTGCTTTGTAGGTTGTTATTTAAGTGGGGAAAAAGTGCTTAAAATTTTCAAATCTTGAATTTTTCATAGGAATTATGGGATCTGAAGAAAAATGTGCCATCTCTAATTAATATATATTTTAACATATAGTTTATGTTATGGAGCAGTGTAATTTCATTGTCACAGCATGTATTATTGTTTTTTGTGTAATTTAAAAAACTTACTTCCAGAATTATTTGTAATTAATTCAGCTGTTTAGAAACATTCTTACTTAAATAAATTTATTTATAATCAGCATGAAAAACAGCATCTCATTATTTTAATAGGTTATTACTTTGAAAGAAGCTAAATTACTGTTAAGAGATGATGATGATATCATCATTGCTGTATATGACTATTGGCTGAACAAGAGGCTAAAAACAGTAAGCTGTGTTATACTTTTCTTCATTTGGTGATTATATTTTGTTATGCTTGTCAAACGTTTTTTGTTATACTTTAGGAATATATATGATGAAAAATAGCAGTGATTCTTGTTATGAAATTGCATTTTATAATAAAAAATAACTTGGATCCATTCTGAAAATTTTAAGCAAAAATAAATTATTAAGATAATCTTAGGATATGTGTTAACTATAATATTCAAAGTATAATTAGTTATTTGCAGTAGTATATTCATATCATTGTTTGATGAATTTTTTAAGTAGGTAAGTATTACTCCGGTTGTCGCACTTTACCTTAAATCTAATCAACTGTGTATATGAATGCAGAAGATAAAAGTCTTCGGAAGTTTCATATAAGTGTTAAGTCGTCATAGACATGCAGACTCACAGACATCATTGCAAAAAGCAAAATGTAGATGTGTAAACCCTAATTCATGCTTTCATGCTTATTCACTGAAGCTCATTATCAATTTTTTTAACCCAAAACTATACCTCTCTTTGGGGGGCATTAAAAGCATGAGTTAATTTATTTAATGTTCTTTGAATAATTTAACTTGTGCTTTTAATGCACGATTAAAAGCACGAGTTAATATTTGGAAAATAAGGAATATTTGTTCATATCCTATGATTTTGCTATATTTTTCATATTGTGATCTGTTAATTGGTCCCTATTTTTATTAAGCAACGAAAGCATGAAGTAGGACAGAATTTATAGATGTTGGAAAACTAATTGCCTATGTAAATCATAAATGAACTGCAGTTTTCAAAATGTAAAGTAAAATGGGAAAATTGAATAACCATTAATTAATTTTTCAAAAGTTGGTATTTCTACATATTTCTTAAATGAATGAAATAAAAAGAATGTTTTGTACCTTATTAAGATATTCACGTATGTTTTCAAAAGTCTTAAAATTTTAGTAACCAGTATGAAAGATTTTTATCTAAAATTTAAAAAATTTCTTGACCCCTTCAGGACAAGTGTATCATACATGCATCAGCAGCTAATACTCTTACAAGATAGCATTCTGCTTAGCACAACTCACCTTGGAGATGGTGTGTTGCACCAGTGCATCACCCGACAGCTAGCGACATTTGGGACTGGTGCGTATATGGCACACCTGTCTGCAGAGGGTTTTTAGTTCAGCAACATGCCGTCATGAAGGGATTAATAAAGTATTTGTTTTTTCAAGGAATATGTGAAATTCCTTATGCAAATTTATAATGCTATGCATTATTACACAGGTGGGGGAACTCTGACATGCACATTAGCCCACCAGCGGCCAAGCGGTAAAGACGCTAAATACTGATAGTTCGGTCTGAGGTTCGAATCCCGTGAACGGGCTGGCTGCATGGGCGTTTTCGTGGTTTTTCTCCATGTGTAACGTGTATACGAGCCAGTTTCCCTTAGAAAGTCCTCCACGAAGGCATCCCTCCCTTTAGGCAGATAGCCCTCGTGTGCTTTGCCATAATTAAATAATCCAATCCAAAATCCTGACATGCACATTTTTTTATGGGGCTGCTGCTAAAACAGAACATCTGTTCAGAGAAAGTTGAAAGAACAGTTGAGTCTTTCATTTGAACAGTTGAGAGGAGCTATTCTTTTTCTGTATACAGTCTCAGTCTTTCTGTACACAGTTGGATTGTTGGATGTCGGTGAGCTCGACATTTATGCAGAAATAAATTTAAATAGGAATAGTGTGCCAGCAGAACACCCCCTTTTTTCTCCATTTACCAGTAGTGCCCATTACTATCTCAATAAGCTATTTTTTGTACACATTCTGCCTATTTCACTTTGACACTTTTACCAGATTATTATTGATCATCCTTATCTTTAAGAACAACTGTTCTATTGTTTTAAATTTGTTTAAATTTCACATGGTGTGAAAAGACCTTAAAAGGTGAGTAATTCAGTTACATTTTTCTCTAGTAGTTATAACGAGCCCAAAGAATATTTCAGTTTATTCATTAGAATGTTTTTAAAAAATGCAGTTCTATGTTAGACTAATAAAAATTATTTTCTTTTTTCAGCAACATCCACTGATACCTCAAGTCAAAACAGAGAAAAGGGATGGCTCAACGAATAATAATCCATATGTTGCCTTCAGGCGGCGGACAGAGAAAATGCAAACGAGAAAGGTATGAATTTAGACTTTGAAATGTATTGGAGGACTTTTATTTCTCCTATTAAATAAAAATGTGAAATTTTTCTGTGTTAAAATTGCAGAACAGAAAAAATGATGAAGCCTCTTATGAAAAGATGTTAAAGCTACGTCGAGACCTGAGCAGAGCTGTGTAAGTTGAAATTTGCTTTTTATCTAAATAACTTTTTAATTTATTACTGTCAGAAAAAAGGATGTATAGTGGTAAAAAACGAGTGTATTTATTCATTTCTTGTATGTATATCTTTTTGTAATATAATTTTTTTGTACTTGATGTGTAACGAATTTGAAAATAGGTTATTTATTCTATTCAGTGCAAATATAATTAAATATGTATGATAGATCAGGCGTAGATTTTATTTTATGAGTACTTAATGATAAATAATCTGTCCAGCTGCATACTTCTAATTGAAATAAGAAGTCCTGAAAAATAGTTGATTCCATGAGAGTTACTTGAGTTGTTCACTGCTTTTTGTATTAAAAATAATATGCCTCTGTAAAAAAAAAAATAATAATAATATAGTTACCCTCTCTTTAACCACTTGCGCTACGACTAAACTTCACGGTTGCGGTGCCGTGCACTACAATATAACAAGCGGTAAAGTGTCTCATTTACGCTGCTCCGCATCTGCGAGTACAATCCAGAGCTGTAACTCGAGAAATAAACAATCTCGTTGTTAGGTGACGTGTGCACCACATTATTTTCATTTTTGCGTTAAAAGCCTATCGACGTTTGTGTTCACGCCGCTCTGAGACAAAAGCATCTCGCCGTGGGTGGCAGGTATTTTTAGCACAAGTGGTTAAACAAATTGCACATTTCTTCAAAAATTCTTCCCGCACAAGCGATGATCAAGCGGCTGCACCTGGCATTTGTAGGGTTGCTTGAATATATAGGCCTTAATGGCTGTATATGATTTATTTTTACTTGATGTTTTGCAATATTTATATATTTTGGTTTGTGTACAATTAAATTATGCCCTGGCTGTGGAGGAAAACAATTTCTAAATACTGTGACATCTATCATTGCTGTTATCTTAAATATTTTCTTCTTTTTGCATATTCCATTGAGATTTCGCTTTATGTTGATGGTTTGTGATAGTAAATTTTCATTGTTCTGTAGAAGAACCTTTTTTTAGACAAAACCCAGTTTGTTTGGAGTTGACTCTAAGTGACTGCTTTGTTTTAAGAAACATACGAGGGTTGGAACTTTAATAGTGGCAACACAGCTGAACAAACGCTACGCAACAAAACCAAAGAATATCACGTATACCACACGTGAACTACATACCTACCTTACCTCTCAGCAAAAAGACTCGTCCTGCCTACGCATGCGGAGTGACGCAAAGAATGGATCCTTGTATTAGCTCGCGGTCTAAAGTAAGTGTTGTCAAGGATGTTTTCAAAACAAGAACAACGTTGTTGGATAAAAATTAAATGTGCCAGAGGTCATACAGCACGACAGTGTCATCAAGAGGCTTGCGGGGAATCTGCATTGCCTTACAGAACCATAGCAAGATGGGTGAAAGCATTCAATGAAGGACGCCAACACGGCCACGTGTGCAGACGTGCAAGCTGTTGACGCACTAGTGGACAGTGATTGCCGCCAAACGGTTCATCAGCTGGCTGGACAAACAGGATTAGCGCATATGACTGTGTTGCACATTCTGAAGGAATGCCTGTCCATAAGAAAAATTGCTTCACGATGGGTTCCACATCAATTGACGGAAATGCAGAAATGGCTACGATACGATGCTGCCCGAACCCACCTGGAGCGCTATGAGTGCGAAGGAGATCTTCCACTTCATATCCTAATAATTGAATGTTTTAAACTTTGTAGTTTGATAAAAAAAATTTCCATCTTATATGGATTATTGGATTACAGGTGTTCCTGTGTCATAAGAAAACTTTTTCTTTTATTTGGATTGTTTTCTTATGTTGAAAAAAAAGTTTTAAGTGTTTTAGTCACTTCAGATAAGAACTGTGCCCTTCTTTAATTAACCATTTAGCTTCCTTCTGTTGAGAAAATATTTAATTACTGTCGTCATTTGAGATAAAATTGTTCTATTTTTTAACCACTTTAAATATATTTCTAAAAAAATGTTTACTCTTTCAAAGGGTATGTAATACATTATGTATACTTTTGATACATATTAGAAGTTTGTCCTGTAGATAGTGTATTATTTCTGGAATTTGTTAAAGAATTTATAGAGTGTATATTTAAATATATTTGATTAAAAAAAGTGGGGAAATTTATTTTGGGACTCTAGAAGAGGGAAAAGAATATTATCATATGTTCACACTTAATACAAATGCTTTTCCAGATTTGTGATACAAAAGGTATCTCATTTTGATTTTTAGGCCCATTCTTTGGTATTGTAAATGATAAAATGCTTGTATTTTAATCATTGAGCAGAAGAGGCCCTGTGTTAGCACTTTGAAAAACAGCCATATAATTAAAGGTGCATTCTTCCCTCTCTTTTTAAGAAAATTAGCTGTTTGTATTATATGTGATATTCAGTTGCTGTGTTGTGGAAAGTAAAAGTTGAGAAAATTTCTTTAGTTCAAGAGTCATATCATTTAGTTATTATTCAGTTTAACAGTCATATATTATCTACTAGTCAGGTATGATTTTTGCTTACATTTGTGTCTTTGCTTGCTTTGGTTTAGGAAGTTTTTTCAATTGAATGCTTAATGTTAAATGAAATAAGAAAATGTTTAGGTTTAAAAATGGGGGGGGGGAAATTAAATCTGATCCAAGTAACTGGTAGAAAAAATAGTAGCTAGATTGAAGGATGAAAATGTAACAGTATTTTTCTAATTAAATTATCTATTATTTATTAATACAAAATGTTTCTAAGTTGGCCATTAAATATGAAAGCTTTTCCTTAATAAAACATCTGGAATAATAAATTATAAATTTCAAGCAGTGCTGTTTGTTTGGTCTGGCTGGGTTTGTTTTTAAGATTGCTATTTTTGTTTTATGTTATTTATCATTTGCATATTTAAACAAGTAATTAGTATACATTTGTATTTTCTAATCATCAAAAGGAGATAAACAGACTATACCTATATTCATCTTTCATGTAGTTGGACCTTTTGTGTGTATGAAACTTTCCTTTAACAATATTTTTTATTTGTTGATTCTTTTTAGCACATTATTAGAGTTTGTGAAACGTAGAGAAAAGTCTAAAAGGGAGCATCTTCATTTAACAGTAGAAATTGTTGAGAAAAGGTAATTATGGTAAAGACATATTTTATGATCTATGATTATTTAAATTTTATAATTTCATAAACTTATTTTTGCTATTTTTTATAGGTATCAAGCTGGTGATTTCAGTGGCCAGTTATTAGCTGAAGTTTCTGCTATAAAGCATTCACGTCCTAACTTCATTCCTGTAAATAGTAGTCAAATTGTAATTAAACCAGATACACGGGTAACAAAAACTAAGGTAATATATATATGTTGTATGATCTTTAATTCATTTAGTGTGAAAACAAGTTACTACTACTTGCGTAATTGCTGCAAAGTTAGTTAATAATAATTTATTTCCTAAACAATATTGATTAATTGATTATATTATCTTCTAAGTTTAATTAAAGTAGAATTATTTTAAAAGAATGAATCCATACTGGTAAGTTATATTTTGAAAGATGTTTTGAAGTAACTTGAAAGTAAAATGTTAATAATGTTTTAACGGGGACTGGAATTAAATCATCATGAAGAACAAAATTTCAATTGTAAAAGGAAAAATCAAATTAAAAACATGTAATCATTGTCATTGATCGGAAATTAGTTGACTTTTCAAGGGGAACAAACCAACTCCCGTTCAATGAACAATTATTAATAAATACGTAAATACGAAGGTGTTTCGTCTTTACTCGAGTTATAAAGTAAAGCCAAACCAGCAATTATAGTCAGGCCAAATATTTCCGCGAATAGAAGGGAATATGAACCAATGCTGATACTCAAAGATCTTAGTCTTATGAAGCATTTTAGCCAATTCAATTTGGAGTAAAAAGCAATTTCTGTAGAGAAATCCGAAAAAACTCGAGTAACTGTCCCCGACACCCTCGTGTTTATGCATTTGAGTTCTATATTATTTGTAAAAATTAAACATTGGAAATTGTCATTATGAAATAGAATTCAAAGTAAGGTTGAAATAAACATAGAAGATTACAAAATAAAATAAATAATGCAAACTTTGTAAAAACAAATCAAAAATAATATAAAAATAAAAAATATAATAAGAACAGTGAATGTACATGAAGATATAAAGACCAGAAAAGGTATTAAGTAACTTCATTCTTTCTAGTGGGGAGTTGGCAAAGTGTTCTCGTCTGACTAATGAGTGTAGGGTGTCCGAAAAATTCTTAGCGGCAGTGGGGGCTTTGAATAATATCAGTCGGTAAGACTTGGGTGAAGTAATTTATTAAAATGGGGGGAATTTTTGAGGGATGTATTATGTAGAGTTCTTATTTGAGTGAAACTGTCTGTTAAGATTTTTTTTAAAATACTAGTGAATGGAAATTAATTTCTGGCTAATTGTCGTGTCACAATGATTAAGAATTTAAGAAAGGAAAGGAATTTTCACTGTCCAAGAGCTATTAGACAGACTAAAGTCATGAAATAGGCCCATTTTTTTAGTAACAGCGTAAGTCTAAAGACAATTAGCTTTTTACAATATATACAACTGAATAATTACACTATATAAAAATCCTTCAACTGATAGTCATCCAACTTATACCGCCTTCTCAGGTTTAGGAACAAATTATCATATCCCTATCAGTTAAATGATTTAGAGTGAGTATTTAACGCCTGCTCTTCTAAGGCAATGGTTAATAAATTGAATGGGTATTAGATTATTTTTGAGAATTTTAATAAGGAGCAAAATTTCGCATTGTAAATCTATTGCATCTGTGCATATAATTTTAATTCGTTGTATTTGATTAATTATTGTATTGTTAATTACTTTTTTGGATATGTTGTAGTTCCAATTTATTAATTTGTTAGTATTGAAATTGAAGTTTCTTGTTTTGTCAAAAAGTAAAATTTTTTTGTAGTTAATGATTTGAAGATCTAGATGTCTATGCTATTTTGTGAATTATTAGTTTTAATGAGTGTAAGAAAATTTGGATAAATCTGAGTGTTCAATTTTACCAAAATTATTAATTGTAATAAGGTCATCAATATATCTTTAGGTGTGTTTGTAGTAATTTAACTCTTGTGGTTGTAGATTTTTTTTGGAAGTTAAATTCTTTGATAAATAAAAAGATATTACAGATCGAGGAGCTGGAATGTAAGCCCATTGGCAATCCTCTGACTTGTTTAAAAAGTTGATTTTGAAACTTGATGTAGTTATGAAAAAGTGTGCATTTTAGGTAGGTTTTCCATTTGTTAAGAGTCATAATTTTGCGCATATCAGGGAAGAGTTTAGGTAGATCAAGTAGACTGGTATAGATTTCTTCTAGAGGAAGTGAGGTATATAAGTTTTCAAAGTCATAGCAGTTAATGTTTTGGTTGTTAATTGTTTGAATGGTATTAATGACAGGAGTGTTATTATGGATGATCCAGCAATAGTTATGATTAGTGTTACAATCATTGAAAATAGATTTACAGATTTTATTGAATTGAAAAATAATAGTCTACATTTTTCTTGTAATTATTAGTTCCATTAGCTATAAATCTGAATTTTAATGGTGTTTTATGGAATTTGGGAATTGCATAAAGGTTAGTAAATCTGTTGTAGTTTGTATTGAAAGTAATATTGAGTTTCTTATGAAAAGTTTTAATCCTGTTTATTATAGATGTTTCTGTAAGGTTGGCTAATTGATAAGTAGTTGCGTTGAGAAGTTATAATTTCTTTATGAATAATTTCTGCGTAGAATTGTTTTCATATAATGCTAAAGTTATTAGTTGCTTTATCAATTTTTGTAAATGTAAAAAGCTGTTTTAATTTTTTAATATCTGATGTAAGTTGCGACCAATTCAGTGTACTTTTAAACTTGAGATGACTGATTTCGGTGGATATGCGTTGAAGAATTTTAGCTTTCCATTTTAAGAAGGTATCTATGGGTAAATTCAGTTGATAGCTTGCTTTAACTATAAATTCGTTGATGTTGTTTTTGAAAGTCTTGTAACAGTAATTTTTAGTTTATATATATTGATGAAATAAATTGATATTTTGATACTTTTATAGTAATTGATAATTCAGTGATGAATTGGGTCAGTTGATCTGTGAAATAGCCCCCCTCCATTAATTATATGAAAATTTCCTCTGCCTGCACATAAACTTTCTTAAATTTGGTAAATAAAAAGCTTGTGATTTTCTATGAGCCAGATAATATTAGTATTCTAGCATTGTATTGGCTGTAGCTGACGTTACATTTTTATCTTTAGTCTCCTCTCCTGTATAGTTTCATTGTGCAGTAATTGTAATGTTCGTGATTTTTTGGCAAAATAACTGCAGGCTTAAAAATTATGAATTTCTCCTCCTTCATTTCTCACTGGATATGATAAAAAAGGTGCAAAATGAAGTGAAAATTAACATGGCAAACAAACATTGACCCAAGAATTTTTTTTGCCGAGAAAGGTCACCAGAGAAATAGCACAATAAAGATATGTTGTTGCTCTAACTAATCTAAAGTTGATGCCTTGGGGGGGGGCATCCTCGCATTTTTTGAACACTCAAAAAAGGGGGCAAGAAGAAGCAAAAAAGTCTGTACGCAGAAGTGTGTGCGAAAACTTCTTTGGTTGTCAAGTGCTGATCGAAATATGAACCAGAAATTTTATTTTTTACAACAAATCAATTTGTAATTGCCTAATGCACTAGTACAGTAAAGATTGATTATCTGGCATTTAACTAAACGGAAATCTGAAGTAACCAGAATATTTTTTTCATTTTAGAAATTTTTTCTTTTTTCTCTCTCTTTTGTGAAAAATTAAACAATTATAAAGCATAAATAGGACTACACCTCAAAACAACAAAAACTGTGAACAGTGTTATATTACTATACAGTCATAAGATTTTTGTTTTTGTAGTAACTTTATTAATTCGTAATAAGCTGCCTGGTTTAATTTTTATGTTAAAGGATATAATTTAATTGCTGTTCTTCTGTTTTTCTTTTGCATTTTGAAAAAAAAAAAGATTAAAATTTAGGATGTGATGTCCTGTTAACAGAACAGCATGTGGTGGAATTATAAAATTGAGGGGTCAAGGAAGTGCAAAGGGAAGATTTCAAGGCAAATATTATTTAATTTTTTATGTAGTCGGTACTCCTCCCCTCAAAAAAGTGTTTGCACTTTATACAAGTTTTGTTCATTCTTGTGTAGTTTTAACACTTTTGCAATGAGCAATTTCAGCCTCAGAATTTTACTGAAACCAAAAACACATCTAAATTCAGAAGCAGCCAAACTATATAAATTCTTTTCATTTCTTAAAATGTCACTGTTAGGCTGTTGTACATGGCATTTCAATTTTCTTACAATTTTAAGGGTGTGAAGCAGTTTACTTGTACTGGGAAGTTTTTATTTGTTACATTTGATACTAATCTGTAATTATCACAATGCGAAAGAAAAATTTTAAAACTGATTTTGAATTTATATTCATGTATGTGTAACTATGGTTTTTACATAAATAATAAAAGGAAAACTGAATTATTGTAACACTTCTGTTTATAAGGAGGGTGATTTTAGTATCATTTGACTCTATTATGTTCTCAATGATAGTGCTTTTCATTTACTCTGCAGTGTGGTGTATAATATTAATGTATTCATAAGTACAAAATATGGGTCATTTTATTTCCAGTCAGCTTTCTTTACACACCAGTTTCTCTCTCAAAATCATGTGTTTAATTCTTTTTGCTAAATATATTGACTATTACTACTTTTTTTCATATTTGAAGTCTTTGATGTTATACATGCAGAGCTTTTGCTCTTTCCAGTACTTTTACATGATGAGCTGAACTTCATATATGTTTGAAAATTTTATTTTTGAATAGAAAGCATCTAATCTGATTTATCTGCACGTGATCATCATCTGTTGTATTCTAATTTATTATTAATTGGTGCTGGTGTCTGTTGTTGAAATATATTTCTGCCTTGCCGTTTACGATGTGCTTTAAGTATTAACATTTCTCAAACTTTGCGGTTGAGTTTTTTTATTTTTAACCACTAACCTGTCTTACTTATTGCAGAATTACTTTCTTTTCATTAACTGTTATTGAAATCCAACAGACAAAACACTTTCACTCACTATCCAAGATTCTGGGAAAATTTTGAAAGAAAATAATGTTAGAACATTCTTAGTAATTAATCGTTGGTAGCAATATTGCTAACCACTCCATTTTGAAGTAACATGCTTACACAATAAAAACATTTTTATATATACTAACAATGAGTATTCTGTGAGCAAATTACTTACAAATACATGGATTGATTACTGCCGTTTTG